GATTCTGGGCAGGGGCTCTACCACTGAGCCACGCCCCCAGCACCTCACTGGGAGATTCTGGGCAGGGGCTCTACCACTGAGCCACGCCCCAGCCCCTCACTGGGGGATTCTAGGCGGGGCTCTACCACTGAGCCACGCCCCCAGCCCCTCACTGGAGGATTCTAGGCAGGGGCTCTACCACCGAACCTATGTCTCCAGCTCTGAACTACATCCTGAAATATTATGGAGCAAGTGGGACACCTAATTTTTCAGGGCTCAAACCGGATTTCTCATGTCACACAGGCAAAAAGCTTATAAGTTTAAACCAAAGTCTTAGTTCATGGTCTTCCATTCTGTATCCTGCAGTCTTCTATAGGCATGTTCTCTCCCTCCTCTCTCCCTCCCTCTCTCTCTCTCTCTCTCTCTCTCTCTCTCTCTCTCTCTCCATCGCAAGAGTCTATAAGTAGGCTATAGTATATATATACGGGTAGTCTATAGCCCACATTTCCCATGAGGCTATATGACAAGGCAAGTTAAAAGTAGTCCCCAGTGTTGGGGGGCAGAAGAGGTGACCCTTTAGGTGAAGTGCTACCCCTAGGACAGCTATCACGACTCCTACAGGTCTCAAGCTCCTTCAGTGGCCTGGCTCACCTGCCGTCAAGGTGACGTTACCATCGAAGCAGCCTTTGTAGACGCGGCCGCTGGCGTTATAGCAGTTTACGACAGGGGGCATAGTGCCCTGGCACTTCTCGCGGCTCAGCCCCACACAACTGTAGCACTCTGCACCGTTGGGCTCATATGCACTCTCATTGCCTGCAGGGGGTGTAGGGGAGCAGAAACAGAAAAGGAAGGGTCAAGAGGGTGCGATGGTCTACTCAGGAAGCTAGGGCAGAAAGATCGCAAGTTCAAGGCCAGCCTGTCCTGCAGAGAGATCTAGACAGCTACAGCTCAACAAGCCGGCACCCCAGGCGGGCCTGCTGTACTTGTGACTCCGCCCCCTATCTCCTGACCCCACCCCCAGTATGGACCTGAGGAGCATATATCATTGATGTTTGCAAGTCTTCAACCCCGCCACCCCCGCAGCCCTGCCTCAGCTTGCAGTAGCCTTAGCTCCCAGCCCTTGCGTGACTCCGCCCGCGACCAACCTGCAGGGTTGAGGCCTCGCAAAGTGAGGTTGAGTTTGGCGTTGCATCGGTCCTCGGTGCACTGCTGTAGCTGAAAGAAGGCCAGGAGCCCGTGAAGGTCCAGTCCGCGATCGTTCTTGCCGGGGATTCCGGAACCGCAGCCCCGCACTGCCACAGAGAATTGCCCGTGGACTGAGGAGGAAAGGGGGTAGAGTCAGAACAGTGGGCGGAGCTTTGAATGAGCAATACTCCTGGATGGTCAGTCCTGGGTCACCGGGCGAAGACCTCAAAGAGAGCAGATCCGTGGGTAGAGAGCTACGGGTGGAGGGAGGGTGGTGTGGTCAAAGAGAAGAGCTTCAAAGAATACAGTCCAAAAAGAACGGGCTGATGGACAAAGGCAACAGCCAGGCTCAGAGTGAAGCCTCAGTGACTACGTCAAAAGGGGGAGGAGCCTCAGAAAGTAACTTCAGAAGGATCCAGATAAGACCGGAAGAAAAACGGTTTAAAGAAAAAGGCTGGGGGAAAAACATGGTAGTACAAGCCTGCAATCCCAGCTACCGGGGAAACTGAGGCAGTGGGGTCTGGAGTTCCAGCCTAGCTTGTACTGCATAAGGAGATCCTGCCACCAAGCAAAGGCGGACCTGGTGGTAAAAGCCACCAGGTGACTCAGGAGATCGAAAAAGGAGACTCCCAACCACTAGGGCCTGCCTAAACTTCATAGTGAGTTCGAGGGCCAAACAGCAATTCAGCAAGACCTTGTCTCACAGTGCAAAGTTAAAGGGGGCTGAGGATCCACCTTGGTGTGGAGTGTTATCCGGCATGTGTGTGCTGGGCGTGAGTTCAGACCACAGCTTCACACGGATGCATAGAGAGGAGGCCCTGAATCTGACTTGGGGGAAGGTGGGATTCCTGAGTAAGGGGTCTGGAAACTTAGAGGCTTTAAGGGTGGAGTCTGACTAGGAACCCCGGTGATTCCTTTCAAAAGGCTCTCGGTGACCTCGTCCCCACTAAATAATAATCTGTGTTGGTGGGTAAGCATTCCTGCAGGGAGTGAGGGAAAGTGGTAAAGATGTTTGTCCTGTACAGGTTGCAGCTATCAGAGCACGCCAACCTCCCACCTTTCCATCCCACCCCGCCCCCGACTCCCTGCCTTCTGTCTGTCTACCCGCCTTAAGCCCAAAGAAAGAAGGGCGAGTCTGTGCTGCAGGGTCTGAGTGGGGGCTGAGAGGGAAAGGCGTGGCCAGAATCCGAAAGGTCTCTAGGGAGGCGGGGCCACACTGGAGGAGTCGAGAAGGGGTAGTCAGGGACCACCCGGTGACACTTACTGGTCTCCACCGCCCCCACGGCCTCCGTACAGACGTCCACTCCGGGACCACATTTGACTGTCTTCATCTTGTGTGAAGAGCACCCATCATCCGCCTTCTGCACGCAGCTGTAGCACTCCAGGGCTTGCGCTCCTGCGGGTGAGGGCCAGGTAGAACCCAGTGTTCTTTGTTAAAGCCTTCTCCCGACGAGAACAACGTCTTTCCCAGTGGCCTCTGTGCGGGGTGCATCCAGAACAGCAATAGAAGCCCTCCCACAAGTTTCGGGATACAGGGCACAGTGACCCTTTTCCTTCTACACCCTGTGCCTACGTTGGGAGATTTCTCCTCTCCTAGCTGCCTATGCCCGAGGAAGAGGATCCCAGCCGCGGACGCCCCTATCTTAGGGTGGGGGAGGGGTGCCTCTCTCAGTCTCCTACTCTGTGTAGAACTTCCTTCCAGCCCCTCTACCCAAGGCTCTGTCACTGCCTTTGGCTGTGTTCAACTTTTCTTAAAGGACTTTCTGGGAAAAGCTAGGGGATTATCTTCCTTAGGGGCCCCGACTCTGCCTTCGTGGTAGCACACCCACCTTCACACAGCAGTAGCGGTAGCAGCAGCAGCCATCTGGCGGTCCACATCATTGGCTGTGTGTCTGCTCTCCTGGCCGTATCCATTGCTGTGTCCTGCTCTCTCCGCGTTCCCCCCTGGGTGTGCCACCTTCCAACCCGGGCCCTCTTACCTGAGCCTCAGATGAGTAACTTACCCCGGGGCAACCCTGGCCTTGCCCAACCAGGCCAACTCAGCGTCCGCTGTGGGGCGGGCCCGCCTCTAGGTGCGTCACCCACAGGGAGAGCAGCCCCTGCCCTGTGCCCTTGCCAAGGAGGGAAAGGGACGGAGTAGAGGTTCCCTCCAATCCCCTGGATGAAAATATGTGTGGGTTTCAGAAGCAGAGGGAGTACCAGGGCTCAAAGAGAGATAGGGGCATTCAGGGTCTGCTAGGGTCCTGAGTTTATGTGGTATGCCTATCTGCTTTTGCCTGGGGATTAGAGACCCTGAGGCAGAATCACTGTCTTCGAAGAGCTCCCAGTCTGATGCAGATACAGATATTAATTAAATAATTGGGAAAACTGTTATTTACAAATCAGGCGTGGTGACTCATGCCTGTAATCACAGCATTGACGGAGCTGAGGCAGGAGGATTGCCATGAGTTTGAGGCACGGTGATTCCAGGCCTCACTGAACTGCAGAAAGAGATCTTATCTCAAAAACCAAACCAAACCAAAACAAACAACTCAGTTATAACTTACAAGAGACTAAGGCTCTGGAGGAATACTCGTAAAGTGCTACAAGCAGAGTTGGAATTGAGAAGTGAGTAGGACTTTTCAGTCCGGTTAAGCTGAAAAATAACATCAGATATCTATTGAGAGGTGATGAAAAAGGTATACAGAATCAAAATACATTGCATACATGGCTGAAAGTCTCAAAGAACGAATAAAAATTGAAAACAAGTCTTGAACACCTATCATGTGTGCTGGCCACTGCAGTAAGTCCTTTAAATTTAAAAAAAAAAAGTGATTGGAGAGCTAGGATAGTGTCCCAGGGGTCAGCAGTGGAGCCCCTGCCTAGACTCCCCCAGTGAGGGGCTGGGGGCGTGGCTCAGTGGTAGAGCCCCTGCCTAGAATCCCCCAGTGAGGGGCTGGGGGCGTGGCTCAGGGGCTCTACCACTGAGATGAGAGATCAGATACTACTTGAGGTTTAGTGGTAGAGCACTCACCTGGCATGAATGAAGCCCCAGGTTCCATCCCCAATATCATCTCACTAAAATAAATAAATAAATAAATAAATAAATAAATAAAATGGGAAAACCACGAGAGGTCCCTTCAATCCATGCACTATTGCTCAGCAATGGAAAGTTTCAGTGGGTGGTATATACAGTGTGACTTTGTTCATATGTAGTTCTGAAGCAGATCAAACTAGCCCACAGAAATGCAGTGCTTAGAAGATGAGCAGAGGTCCCTCTGAGAGAGCCTTGTCCCAGAGAATACCTCTTCCACCTCCATCTAGGAGGGTGGCCTCGTGTGTGCCTGTCATGTACATAATCGCTGAGCTGTGTACTTCAGAACTTCAAGAAAAACGTGAGGAAGCTGAGCCTGGGCCTGACGGCACAATGCTATAGCTTTAGCACGTCGGAGGCCGAGACAGGACAGAAATTTGACCTGAGTCTGGGCTGTGGAGAGAGACTGTATCTAGAGAGAGGAAGTGGGGTGAGATGGTTCGGCATGTAAAAACACTTGTTCCAAACCTAAGGACCTGAGTTGGATCCCTAGCTCCCACATGGTAGAAAAAGAGAAGCAAAATTGATTCCTAAAAAGTATCTTCTACCTTCTACATATCTGAATCACAACATAGCCATAAATGTAATGAGACAGAATCACAGACCCTGTACAATGAGCCTGCAGAGAAATCAAGAACAAGAACAGGGCGAGGGTTTGGTGGGGGGGGAGGCTGGGTGTAATGGCTCACGCTTAAAATCCCAGACTCAGGAAACTCAGACAGTAGGATTGCATTGAGTTGGAAGACAGCCTGGGCTACATAGTGAGACCCTATTTCAAACTCTTCAAAGACTTGACAAAGGACACAGGAGTCACTGGGCAGTTTTCCAAATGAGAAAGGAAAGTTTGGTGGCTTGCCTGGTGTGGACGAAGCCCAGTTTCTATTCCCAGAGCTTGGGGGGGGGGGGGAATAAGTACGACAGAGATGGAGGCAGGAGGATGTAAAGTTTATCCTCAGTCCCATAGGAAATTCGAAGCCAGCCTATCTGGGGCCTGGGGGATCAGAGATCCTATCTGGGGACTGGAGGATGGGGGTTGGGGGGGCCCGAAGAGGAGGAGAAAGGAACCAACCAGTAACTGTCAGAAGTTGTCCCTGTTAATGTAGGAGCCGTGCGGTTTGTAGTGGGCATAAATAATCTCACAGCACCCTGACCTGGGCCAGAGTCGCCTGTGACCACGAATGATCTCTCCAAAAGCAAGGCCATCCATGCGACTATTCCTGTTCACAGGAACAAAAAAGACCATTACGCTAATCACGCTGCGCCCCCACAAGCCCACATTCTGGTAAACATGAGCAGCGCTCAGGTTATTGTGTTACTGTAAGTTACGGTTTAAGCCCAGCTTCCCTCTTCCTGCCTCATAAATCAGACTCATGAAGACTCTTAACTCTGTCCTTGTTCTGTGACAGGATCCGGTGCAGAGCAAAACCCCCGCTTCCTGGAACCGCCGCCCAAACCACCACACGGGAGTCCATATCTTTTACAAATGTGTCTCTCTAGCCAGAAGTGGCGATCCAGCCTGGAATCCCAGCACATGGTAAATGCAGAGCTGGAGGCCTTCATCAGGTATACAGCAAGTTCTAGGTCAGCCTGAGCTACATGAGACACTGGAGAGAGAGAGAGGAAAAAAGAATCCAAAATACTTTTAAGAGGAAGGACTACCAGGATTACTGATGAATCAAATGGGAGGGAAGCCTAAAGGTGTGGCTCAGCTTCCCGTAGCTCAGCAGTACAGTGCTAGCCTAGAATCCAGTGAGAAGCTGGGGCGTGGCTCAGGGGTAGAGCCCCTGCCTAGAATCCCCCAGTGAGGGGCTGGGGGCGTGGCTTAGCAGATTTCTTGCTTAGCGATCATGAGTTCCTGGGTTCAATCTCCAGCATAGAAAAGAAAAGGAGGGGGAAGCAGGAGGTTTCTAAGTCCATTTTCTGATCTTTCTTGTTATAAATTCCATTCTCTGACACTAATAATAACCATGACACCAGTGATAATGATACCCGGGAATCGAGCGTTTGCTTTGTGCAGAAACTACTCGGAGCAGCAGCCTGAGCTCCACATCAGTCCCTCCCCTAAGGTGAGGACCGCTCCTGTTGTCAGGGAGCACTAGCTCTGTGCTCAGCACTTCTCAGTCCACAACAGCTCTGCAAAGGGAAGATGGAGCCCATTTCACAGAAGAGGAAATCGAGGCTGGGAGAGGCTTTGAAGTAGCAGAAGTGGGATGTGAGCTCAGCTGTCTCTGAAGGCCTTTAATATCACTTGTCACTCTCAGAGTCTCTTCTGGGCTATTTTGTTTATTTGGTTGCTCAGTTTCATTTTATTTTATTTTATTTTATTTTATTTTATTTTATTTTATTTTATTTTATTTTATTTTTTATCTGTTTTGTGATGCAAGGTTGTTTTGTTTTATTTGTTGACAATACTGGGTATGAAACCCCAGGCAGGGCTGACACATACTTGGCAAATGCTCTACCCTGAAGGTACAGGTGTGTATGTGTGTGTGTGTGTATGCATGTGTGTGCGTGTATGCTTGTGTATGTGTGAGTATGTATGTGTGTGTATCTATGTATGTTTGTGTATGTGTGTATGTATCTGTATGTGTATGCATGTGTGTATGTGTGTATGTATGTGTATACGTGTGTATGTATGTATATGTGTGTATATGTGTATATGTATGTATGTGTGTTTGTATGTGTATGTGTATATATGTGTGTATGTGTGTATGTATGTGTGTATGCATGTATATGTGTATGTATATGTGTGTATGTATGTGTATATGTGTGTTTGTATGTGTATGTGTGAGTATGTATGTGTGTGTATCTATGTATGTTTGTGTATGTGTGTATGTGTATGTATGTGTATGTATGTATGTGTATACGTGTGTATGTATGTGTATGTGTGTATGTGTATACATGTGTGTATGTGTGTATATGTGTACATATGTGTGTATGTATGTGTGTTTGTGTGTATGTATGTGTATATGTATGTACACGCACACGAAGGATGCATGCACACTCCTGCCTGTAGATGAACACACCCATGCTCATACTGTGGAGGTCAGAGGGCATGTCCCGTGTCCTGATACACATCACTCTCCACCTTCTAGAAAGAGTCTTTCACCGAATCTAGAATGAGGCTGACGGCCAGCAAGCCCCAACAATCCTCCTCCTCCTACCTCCCCAAACTGAGGTTCCAGATGTGTGTGGGACTCACCTGTCTAGGTGCCTCCATGTCCTCCATGTGTGTAATGGAGACCTTTATCGCAGGCTTACCTCAGAGGCCGCTGTGGGACCAAAGTCAGATGTATGTGAACCGCTTCAAGCAGTTCCCAGTGCTGCAAAAGCCTTAGATTTCATAACTTAAAGAGGCGGCGATAGTGTTGGCTCACATGTACATTGATTATTGATAGTCCCTAGGTCTTTGGCTCTGGCTGTCTCCTAGGCAGGATGTTGTGGAATGCTGCAAGCCCATAATCCCTGCACTCAGAAGGCTGAAGCGAGCGGATTGCACGTTCAAGGCCAGTCTGGGCTACAAAATAGTGGACCTTCGAGATAGAGGTTAAAAAACGCTCTCCACCAAGCCTGGGTTTGGTCCCCAGGACCCACACTGTGGGAGAGAACACATTGTCTTCTGACCTCCACACGTGCCCAGATGTACACACAATAATAAACAGAATATACTTTGTGAAAAAGAGAGCGAATATACCAGTCCTTTTATAAGTAGCCTGTTCAGAGGAGCAGAGCACAGTAGACATTCCTCAGAGGGGGAAACTGAGTCCCAGAGAGAAAGCTACTATCCTCCACAGGCCAGCGGAGGGTCAGCCAGCCCTAGCTGGCCAGATTGGTGACTATGGCAAGAAAGAGCTGTTATGTTCAGAGAGATCTCTACTGCCAGGCCCCTGCCCAGCACCCCCGTTCCCAACAATGACAAGCACCTCAGTCACCTAGGTGGGGTTACCTGTCATCCAGGGACAACTCAGAGAGAGAAAGTAAGTGATTCTCGTGATCTCATTCAAAACTGGCTCCAGCTGTGCTGCCTCCACCTCAGGATACCAGCCCTACATCTTTGCTATGTGACCCTCAAATAATGTTCTTCCCTCTCTGAGGCTTCAAGGTATCTTTTAAAAAGGATTTTTTTTTCCTTAAACAGGGTCGTCCTACTTACTATACAATCCTGCTGTCCCTGGCATTCACTGTGTAGACCAGGCTGGCCTCGAACTCACAGAGCTTTGCCTGGTTCTGCCTCTCCAGTGCTTGGATTAAATGTGTGCACCACCAAGCCTGGCTCAAAGTGTCCTAAAGGGAAAGGTGACGCAGTGAGCAAGGAATGGAGTCTGGAACTGGACGGACTGAAATTTTAATCTTGCTGTGTGACTCCAGATAACTCCCTCTCCCTCTCTGGAGGACTCTTTCTGTCAAATAGGTCTGCAAACCGGAGGAGAGACTGAAGTTCTAGTGAGAAGCTGACAGTGATACTGCCGTGTTTTAGGCTCAGGAGGCCCCACAGGCCCCAGGAGCGTGGGAGAGTTTCAGGGGAGGAACCCCGACTGGTTAGACCAGAAGAGCCAGCATCTTGGGAGGGAGTGGGACGCGGGGTGGAGAGTCTGCTCCTGCTCGGGCCTGCCTGGATTTGGGCTGCTGACCTGAGCCTGGCCAGGACCCAGGGAGCAGGAGGCAGTTTGGTTGATTTGCATATTTATTTATTTGCTTGTTATTTCTGAGTTTATATTCTTGAAATCTTTACTTTGGCTGTGTTGGAGATGGATCTCAGAGCCTGGTGCCTGCTGGGCCAGGTCCCCATGGTGAACTACTCCCCCTAACTCCTCATTCACTGGGACTGTGGGATTCTCCTCACTTGCCTAGGATCCCGAGGGGTTTCCACATAAACAAAGACCTCATCAGAGACAGCCATGATGCAAGCTTCGATGTGCCTGGGGCCTTGTCTGGGATGGGTTTCTGGTCCTCAGAGGCCAGGCAGTCTTACTCCATTGTTTCCCACATTTGACTTACAACACACACAAAATTAAATCTAAACTTAGAATTGGGCAGGCGCTCTTCTGAACAGGAACCCCTGGGCTGCTCTGACCACCAGACTTCTGAAAGCCGCCAGCTTCACAGGCATGTGATTCTGCCTGGGGACCAGCTGAGGGGACACCCCAGATAAGACCTAAGGGATGAAGAGAGACAACAAGCGAGTTTTCTGATGGCCTTATTTGCAGCTGTCCGTCATCCTCAGAATCACTTTCTCACAAACTGATTCCAGTGTTAAACGCGGTTCAGTACCAAGACCTTTCCATCATGCCAAGAGCACCCTGGTGAGGTCTGTTGCCAGGAATGACCCAGGGCAGTCAAGGCCAGGACAGAACAGTCAGATTGCAGTAAGGATGGTCAAGCTGAACTATGTGACTCAGCCAAGACAACCAGGGAGGGCTTCCTGGATGAGACAACATGCCTCAAATAAGGTAGGAACCAGAGATGGGCTAAGTACCTAAACAAATTGAATAAGCAGTGACCCAGAGATGGCGAAGGCCCCTCTCCCTTCTGTCTAACTCTCACAGAATGGCAGGTGTCACTGGGAACCACAGGGCAGGATGGGCGGGCTCAAAACGAAGTGGGCTCAAAACGAAGTGCCTGGGTCATCTGGAAATCGGGGTGGGGAGCTTTCAGGTGAGGCCACTAAAGTAAAACCTTAGAAAGGGAAGTTGGCAGAGGGGGAACCCTAAGGAAAATTCAGGAAGGAAGACGCACAGAAGATTCTAGAGCCCGCTCGAAGCCGGCTGGTCAAAACTGCATAGAGGCCGATAAATCTACGTACTAAAACCTCCAGATCACACAAGACTAAGGCCTCATGTCTGCCCGTCATTTTTCCCATCCATGCATTCAACCTTAGGGGTTGAAAGTTAGCTCAGGAGTCCTGCCTAGTGACAGAGGGGCCCCAGGACGTCAGCGCTGGAACCCACACCAGCAACCCTGGTTTTTCATCATGTTTAATTCGGTATCAGAGGAGCACCAATAAATAGTTCCTTCCGCCCCTGTAATCTTCCTCCTGTCCCCAAGCGGGGCCTCCAGGGCCTGGCGATGCTGCCGCTGGGAGCCACCTGCAGCCCAGCCCTCCGTGGCTCAGGCCCGCTGAGCTGGGGCGGCTGCAAAGATCCCGGGAGAAGGCCAAAGGGGCGGGGCCGAGGACAAGAGCTTCCTGAAGTGGGCGGGGCCCCGAAGGCCGGAAGGTGCGTCTGGGGGCGCAGCTCGCGGGGGACGTCCCTTCTCAGAGGGCGGGGCCGCTCAGGGGCTCAGGGGGCGTGGTTTTCGTCCGCAGCGGTCACGATGACGTCCATCCAAATCCGCATGGCTTCCGGGCTGGGGGCCACCATATAGAAAAGGCGCTCGTAGGTCTTGACACAGAAGGTCAGGCGGGGGCTGGGGCTCTGGGAGAAGCAAGGAGAGAGGGTGGTTGGGTCAATGTCTAAGGTAGTCTTCCGAAACCGGGCTAGAATGTCTGCTCCCTTCTCTTCTTTTTTTTCCGAGACAAGATTTCACCAGCTGGCCTGGAACTCATCCAAGCTGGCCTCGAACTCAAATATCTACCTGTCTCTGCCACCTCAGTGTGGTGATAATGGTGTGTGTCACCCATCATACCTGGCTTTTTAATTTTTATTTTCCTCTTTACCCCGCCTCTTTTTTTGAAAGTGGGTTTGACTTCGTAGCTCAGGCGAGCCTCAGCCTTGCTGCTCAGCCTCCTGAGGGCTGAGATTACACCTTTTGGCTTTTAAAAAAAAAAAAACCATAGTTGGGAGCTGGAGAGATGGATTGGCAGTTGAGAGCACTGGTAAGTTCCCAGTACCCACATGGTGCTCACGGACACCTGTAATGCCAGTTCCAGAGGATCCGATGACCTCCTCTGACCACTGCGGGCATATACATACATACATGCAAGAATAACATTCATACACATGACATAAAGTCAATCTATAAGATCTATTTTAGAACAAACAGCTGGGCGGTGGTGGCGCACACCTTTAGTCCCAGCACTTGGGAGGCAGAGGCAGGTAGATCTCTATGAGTTCAAGGCCAGCCTGGGCTACAGAGCTAGCTCCAGGATATCCAGGGCCACACAGAGAAACCCTGACTCAAAAATAAATACATACATATATAAATACACAAATAAATAATAAATAAATAAATAAATAAATAAACAAATGAAAAGAAAAAGAAAACCAACTAACCATGGCTGGCTTCTTTCCAAAGAGGATTCTAGTTATCAGCTGCCAACGTTTCTTTCTGTCCTTACATCTTGTCTCCCTCATTATCCGGGCCTCCAGTTGAGACCCACAAGCATGTGCTAAACCAGAATCTGACACCGCCCCCTCCCCTCTCTCCAGGGTCTCCATGGAGACCTGACCGGTCTGTAACTCACTATGTTTTCCAGGCTGGCTTCACACTCACAGAGATCCACCTGCCTCTGCCTTCCTGGTGCTGAGGTTACAGCTGTGTGTCACTGTGCCCAGTGTACACGATGCTGGGGCTCACACTGAGGGCTCTGTGCATGCTAAACAAGCTCTCTATGGACCCAGGCTCTGAGCTTTAGTTACGCTCCAGCGCTGGACCTGAGTATAGCAAGAGTGGGCTCTCCCCAGGGTGACCTAGAGATAGGCGCTCGGCAGGGAGGGCATCGTGACACTGGGCAGGGGGTCACCTTGAAGGCACAGCGTAAGTGGTCATAGTAGACTTCCTCGATGGCCTGGAAATAGATGACACCTTTGAGCTTGGTCTCTTCCTTGTCTGGTGGAAAGAAAGAGGAAACAGATCTAGTTAGAGACTGTGTGTGTGTGTGTGTGTGTGTGTGTGTGTACTGGGGTCATTGGGCTTTAGTATAGATTATGACAATGTAATAACCCCAAGGCTGGAGGTAGGTGGATGTAGTCCTGGAGCACTGGTCCTTCTGGAAAGAAAGGTTGGTCTGGGCTCTGGGTGTTCCAGCAGGTGGGACACTGTCGCATGGGTCTAGGTTCCCATCTGGAGGCGAACTGATCCAGACTCCTTTGTGTTAGTGAGCAGAAGCTGGGGGGTTGAGGGGGGGTTTTCTAGGTGGCTTAGGGAGGAGGGGGTTGGGAGTTGTGTTACGGGACAGGGTGGCTTTAACCTAGACTCCAGAGTGTATGTAAGGGGTTGGAAGCCTAACCCCTGGTCCTAGTGGTAGCAGGGAAGTGGGGGCGGGAAAGGGGGTCTTGATTTTTCCAGCCTCTGGCTTGAAGCTGCCTGGCTGCCTGGTCTCCCAGCTTACCGGCATAGTAAGCCAGACGGCGCGCCTTTCGGTCAAAGCAAAACCAGCGTTTCCTCCACGTTTTGATGCGGCCGCCCATCTTCACCAGGGGCCCACGACAGCAGCCCCCGGACACCCGCAAGTGGGGGCAGCTTTCCGGATTGTGGCCCCAGCGTTCCAGGTGCTGTGGGAGGTCCAAGACCTGGGGATCTGGAGGGCTGGGGGGGGGCGGGGGCGGGGCCTGCAGAGCACAGAGAAGGAGTCGTGAGCAAAGAGAAGGACTGCCGAATAGACAGCCAGCTCCATGCAGCCTTTGCAAAGACACTAACACACCCACCGTCGTGAAGCCAGGGGTGTGTGGCTCACTGAGGGGGCTGAGGCAGGACTGTCATGATTTCGAGGGCTGATAAAAAAGCAGGAAAACAGAAAATGTTTGTGCGTGCCTGTCATCTCAGCACTAGGAAAGTAGAGGTAGGAGGATCAGAAGTTCACTCGACTCCATAGCGAGTTCAAAGCCAGCCTGGGCTACAAAGAGCCTCTCAAAAGCCAAACCAAAACCAAAGAAAAAGTCTCCACCTGACAGAAGAGTCACATCAGTCACAAAGTTTGTGAGGCTGGACCGGGACAGTGAACCTTAGCTTCCTAAGTGAGCCACTTTCATGGACTCTGTCCACCCGAGAGCCCCAGTTCCCTACAGTGAACACGGGGTACCTCAGCAGTCTCCCACCAGCCAGCCCCTGATCACGGAGGCGCGAATCTCAGAGACAAGCTTTTCTGTGCACACAAGCACGGCGGGGACACACAATGTACTCCACAGGGGCTGGTTAATAAATGATGCTACCGGTGCTGCATTTTTAATGAGGACAAGTTTGTACAGAACAACCCTGAAGGATACAACGCCCTTCCTGCTCCCTGGCTCTGCTGAGTGGGGAGGGGCGGGGGTCTCTTGTAGCCCAGGCGCGCTCTGTAGTGGGAGACAATCTTTTTTTGGGGGGGGGGGTTCGAGACAGGGTTTCTCTGTGTAGCCCTGGCTGTCCTGGAACTCACGCTGTAGACCAGGCTGGCCTCGAACTCAGAAATCTGCCTGCCTTTGCCTCCCAAGTGCTGGGATTAAAGGCATGAGCCACCACTGCCTGGCAGAAGACAATCTTAAATTTCTGATCTTCCTGCGTCTGCTTCCCAGGTGCTGGGATTACAGGCATAAGCCACAATTGGTTTATGTAGTGCGGGGACAGATCTCAGGCCTTAGTCTTTCTATAATTAAATTTTTAAAACTGCCACAAATGTTTACTCTTCGTCTATAATAACAGCTGAAACAGTTACCAGCATATGGACAGGAAAAGACAGGAAGAGAAAGACCTGGGATTGTAGCTCAGGCTGCAGCTTGTGATTGACACACAATCTAGCCAAACACAGGATACAAGAACAGGGGCATGGGGAGATCGCACAGCTGGGAAAAGGCGCTTTCCACCAACTCTGACGATCTGAGTTCGATCCCTGGGACCCATGTAGTGGAAGTTGAGAGGAGACTTCCACAAGCCCGCTCACCTCCTCGTGTGTACCGTGGCACATGCTCGCCTGCCTAATGACACACAACTTACGTAAATAAATCATTTCTTTAAAAAAAAAGAACAAAAAGATGGAGTCAGTTACCTAAGCAAAGACCATGGATGGCAGATCATGGATGGCAGGAGTGAAACAGGAGTAGGAACGGAACCTTTGGACTTCTCTTCAAGGATCGAGAAGGACCGTTTTGGTTGGAGGACAGGAGATGGTGGCATATAATAAAAGGCAAAAGGCAAGAGGCAAAAGCACCCAGAGGGGACTAACCATGATGGCAGGTACTGCAGGGCCTGTGGAACTTTCTCGGCTTCTTCTCATCCCTTCCTGTGAATTCATGAGGGAGAATCAAGGAGGATCCCAACTCATAAGACAGAGAAATGTCTGAATAAGGGGCAGAGGCTAGACCCCCTGTAGATATAGGGGTCTGAGGGAGGAGGGCTGGGGCCTGGAGTCCTGGGTCTGAGGGAGGAGGGCTGGGGCCTGGAGTCCTGGGTCTGAGGGAGGAGGGCTGGGGCCTGGAGCCTGGGGTCTGAGGAAGGAGGGCTCAGGCTTGGAGCCCCAAGTCTGAGGGAGGAGGCTGGGTCTGGACTTGTGTATGTAAATGTGTGGGGTCAAACACCCCTTTCTAAGGAGCAGGCCATGCAGTCTCACCCTGGCCTTGAGCAGTCGTTCCCTCTCGGCCACAGCCTGCTGCAGAAGTCGCTCCATGTGTGCGATGTCTGGGTGAAGCGAGTGTCTAGGCAGACAAAGCAGAGGTATGATGGTTACCTCAGCTGGCCTCCTCCCTCTCTCCCTCCCTCTCCCCTCCCTCTCAGGCCTCACCTATTCCCAGGACCACAGTTGAGCAGCTGATAGAGAGGGTGTCTCCCCGGGGTCCCCACAGCTTCTGTAAGAGCGGAAGCTTCCAGGGGTCCTGAGGAAGAGGGCACGGGATGTGGAGGCCAGATGTTTCCTCCCTCATCCCTCTATTTCTCCAGCCAACACCCAAGCAGTTTTTCCGTCCTCTACCACAGGATGGCTGAGGGTGGGGGCAGGACGGGAACAGAAGTGTCCTCACCTGTACAGTGGAGGGACAAAGGCCGGGAGGACCCCCTCTGGCTGGCCCTGTCTCCTCTCCTCCGGGGCAGGCTTCCTGTCCTCTGGAGACCAATAGACCCCTGAAATCACACAAAGGTTGTGTTTGTAAGGTAAGCGTCCCCCAGAGGTGCTTAGGATAATGGCTTCGCTGACAGCTGTGCACTCTGCGGGGTGAGTGGATGGAAAAGGCTCCAACACTATCAGTCAGTTAACCCGTAGTGCATTCGTGATTTGATGACATCACCTGGAGGCGGTGCAAACAACAAGACTGGCCCTGTCTAGCAAACACTGGTGACAAGGCTCAGAAAGCCAAGGCTCATGTAAGCATGAGAATCCATCGACGTGGAAAGACATTGTCCAGCAAGATGGCTCAAGCTCAGGTCGCCAAGTCCGATGCCTGAGTTCAAGCCCTGTGTGGCAGAAGATCAGTGATTCCCACCAGCTGTCCAGAAGTTCAGGGTATGCCTAATCACACATTCCACTCCTCGCCCCCACCCCTCCTCACCCCTGTCAATAAATAAACAAATGTGAGAAAGAAAATCAGGTGTGATGGTCTCTGGGGAGGCAGAAACAGATGGATCCCTGGGTACTACTGGCCTAGCCTGATCTATAAACCTCAGAACCCAGTGAGAGACCTTGCCTCAAAAAACAGAGGGGAGGGGATGCTGGAGAAACTAGTCAGAAGTTAAGAGCACTTACTGTTCAGGCCAACCAACCCAAGTTGTTGTTCAGCCCAAGTTTGGTTCCCAGCGTCCACATCTGGCGGCTCACAACCCCCAGTAATTCCACTTTCAGGGGACTCAAATGCCCTCTTCTGGTCTCTGTGGGTACTGCAGTCATGTGCACATAGCCATGTACAGACGCACATACATTTAGGAGTCAGGGGCACTGAGTGATGGCTAAGAATACATACAGCACTGACAGAGGCTTGGAACTCTCCAAGTAGACCAGGCTGGCTCAAACTCACAGACATCCACCTGCCTGTCTCTGGAGTGCTGGGATTATAGGTGTGTTGCCACCACATCTGGCTAGAAATAAATCTTTAAAATCAAACAAGGTAGACAGCTCCTCAGGAACAATAGCAGAGGTTAACTCTGGCATCCACGTGGGCATCCTCACACACATAAACAGGAACACACATGCCAAAAAGAGATGCAGTCTCTCTGTAGAAGTAGGCTTCTTGGGGTATCTCCTGAGCAGGTTTACACACACACACACACACACACACACACAGGCTCTTGTGCTCTCTGCTTCCTGGTTGACATGAGGTAAGCATCCCCTGCTCTGTCACACCCTTCTGCCATAATGCTGTGCTCACCACAGATTCAGCACACATAGAGACCATGCACATATGGATGCCAGAGGTTACAGAGTACTGCCTAGGAAAGCCACCGGCTAACTGTCCCATCTCAGGGGACTGAGGCCCGAACTTTAACTCCCAGCATCAGAAATGAAAGGACTGGAGATGTTTCTCAGTAGAGTGCCATCCCCACAATGCCCTGGGTTTGAACCCCCAGCATCACATATATTTGAGCGTGGTGGTACAAGCCTTGAATCCTAGCACTCAGGAGCAATTCAGTACATTTGAGGCTAGCCTGAGCTACATACATGAGAGCCTGTCTCAAAAATTTTTTTTTCTTTTAGTGGCCAATATTTGTTAAAGGTTTATTATCCCCCCCCCAAAAAAAAAATCTAAAAGAAAGCCGGGCTGTGGTGGTGCACGCCTTTAATCCCAGCACTTGGGAGGCAGAGGCAGGTGGATTACTGAGTTCGAGGCCAGCCTGGTCTACAGAGTGAGTTCCAGGACAGCCAGGGCTACACAGAGAGACCCTGTCTTGAAAAAAAAAAAAAAGGGTTTATTATCTACCCAGTTTCATATCGCTGGCTGTGGCTCTGTATCCCCAGACCCAATACATCACAGACAGAAACTGCCAACACAAGACAGAATGCTGGCTACTGGCAGAACAAGAACATGACCTCCCATTGGAAATTAAGAGTTATCTAAAGGTCTGGAGACATGGCTCAGCAAAAAAAGCACTGGCTGCTCTTCCAAAGGTCCCGAGTTCAATCCCCAGCAACCACATGGTGGCTCACAACCATCTATTATGGGATCTGATGCCCTCTTCTGGCCTTCAGGTGTACATACAGATAGAGTCCTCATATACATAAATAAATCTTTAAAAAATAAATAAATACAATCTGCTGAACTCATTTTTTTAAAAAAGAGCTATCTAGAGATTATTTGCTTTTTTGATTTTAATTTTTATTTATTTACTTACTTATCCATTCAGAGATAGGATCTTGTTGTGTAGCCTAGGCTGGCCTTAAATTTTGCTATGTAGCTCAGGCTAGCCTCAAATTCAAAATCCTCCTTCCTCTACTTTCTAAGCGCTGCAATTACAGGAGCCTGTCACCTCCCCTGGCTTTAGTTTTATTATTTTGAGACAGCATCTCTATATGTAGCCAAGGCTAGCCTGGGTCTCCCTCCTTCCTTTCCCTCCTGAGTGCTGGGATTACAAGCATGCACCACCAAACGCACATGAAAGATGTTTTCCAGCATGTGGGAGGATGTGCTAACACCAACCTGAGCTACAGAGTGAGACCCTCACAAATAAAGGGCCAGAGAGATGGCTCAGCAGCTAAGGGCACTGGCTGCTCTTCCAAAGGATCCAGGTTCAATTCTCAGCAACCACACGGTGGCTCAAACCCATCTACGATTCCAGTTCCAGGGGATATGACTCCTTCTTCTGGCCACCACAGGCACTGCATGCATGTATAGCACACACATAAACACAGGCAGAACACTCATGCTCATAAGATAAGATAAACCATTCTAAAATAAAACCTTAGCCATTAGGACTGCTAGAGGAAAATACTCAAGATACGGGCATAGACAAAAAGTTCCTGAAAAAGATTCGAACAGCACAGGGAATAATTTCGAGGACTGAGAAACAGGGTTTTGTCGAATGAAAATGCCTTTGTACAGCAAGTGAGAAGAGCAGAGTGAAGAAGCAGCCACAGAAACAGGGGCTATCTCTCCAGCAGTACTTCAGATGGACCCTGTGTCTAGACTCTACAGTCCAGGCTTTAGAAAACACACACACACACACACCCACACCAAGGAAACCCAATTCTGGCAAGCAAGGATAGGCTAATGAACTGAGAACACCATTCTCAAAATGGAAAATAAATTGCCAATAATTTTTTTTTGTTTTGTTTGTTTTTTTGAGACAGAGTTTCTCTGTGTAGCCCTGGCTGTCCTGGAACTCACTCTGTAGACCCAGGCTGGCCTCGAACTCAGAAATCTGTCTGCCTCTGCCTCCCAACTGCTGGGGTGAAAGGCGTGCGCCACCAACCGCCCGGCTAAATATTTTTTTAAAGTGGTCAACGGAGCTGTAGAGATGGCTTAGTTGTTAAGAGCACTGGCCGCTCTTCCACAGGACCTGGGTTTCAAGTGTGATCCCCACCCCCCACACACACGGTGGCTCACAACCCTCCATAACTCCAGTTCTAGGCGATTTAATGCTCTCTTCCGGCCACTGAGGACATCAGACACGCATGTGAGATGTATATGAGAAACTGAGGCAGAGTGCTAGGCCAGAGGGGTAGAGAGAGACCTCATTAAAGTAGCCTGTCGGTCACTCTTAAATTTCAGTCTTAGGTTACAGGCTCCCATCTAGCACGAGAGACATGGTGTTATGCAAAAAGATTAATAATAAGGATACATTTGAGCTATCTAATATCCGCTGAGCAAGGTTCCCCATCCATCCTCCCATCCCCTCATCCCTAGCCAGCGAGCGAGCACCAGTGAAGGCCCCTGATAGATCTCGGCGGCCAGCCCCTCCCTCCCCAATATGCACATGCGCAAACGGAGGAGGGCAGCACCTGCAGGGAGCTGTGCACGGAGAAGAGGCATGAAGAAGTGGAGCTGGCGGAGGCAGCATGTGCAGCGGGGTCCTGAAGCACCAGCAGCTGACGGTCTGTCTTCTGTGTGAACAGCAGCTAGGAAGAGGGTGATGGTTACAAAGTCGGGGGTGGGGCAGGGGGATGGGGATAGAGAGGTGACTGAGTGGTTAAAAGCACTGGCTGCTCTTCCAGAGAACCCAGGTTTGATTCTCAGCACCCCTATGGAGGCTCAAAACCCATCTGTAACTCCAAGGCAGGGGATCCAGTGCCCTCTTGCGGCCTCTTTGGGCACTGGGCTTGCATGTGGTGCACAGACATATATGCACTCAGACCACACATGCACGCACAGTAGGGGTTTGGTTTCAGGACACACACACACACACACACACACACACACAGAGCACTGACAGTTCACAGATGCTCTAGCACCAGACTGCCAGTACCAGTCCATTTCTTAGATAGAAAAGCAAAGGTTTGATCACAAGAGGGCCAGCGCGAGCCAGGGCTACGGGCACAGAGAGCCAGGTTTTTGGCTGGCGCTTCAATCCACCCTCACCACCCCACCCCACCCCTTCCCCCCGCCCCGCTCTTGAGGGAGGAGAGCTAGGGTCTAGGCTCCTTGTTCTGAGGTCTAAGGGAAGGACTGAGGGAGAAGAGCTGGGCCTAGACTCAAGTCTGGGGGAGAAGGGACCAGAAGCTCACACTTCCGGTTCCTGAAGGTATAAGAGGCTGGGACCCAGATTCCCCAGGTCTGAGGACCAGCGGGTCCAGGAAATTCCCTACCTTGGTGAGCGCTTGGTCGGGCTCAGAGAAGTCCCCACCACATGTTCCCTGCAGGCAATTGAGCTCGAACAGCCGGTTCCGTTCCTAGGAGAGGAAGAGGCAGAAGGGCCACACCCATAAGGCATCTGACTTTGGGAACTACCTGGGCACCAGGAGCTGGGAGGTAAGGGGGTGGGGCAGGTCTCAGGGACAAACGCACCTGGGTAAGAGCCTGAACAGCCTCCTCCTTCTTCCTGCTCAGTCCCCAGCTCTCGGCGGCCATCTGCTCCCCCAGACACCTGAGCTGTTCCTCCAAGACCTGGATGCGGCGCTGCAGGGCACCCCCATTCTGGTCACTCGCTTGTCTGCGCAGGATTCCAGGCTACCCTCCCGTGATGCCCTGTGTCCCCACCCCCACCCCAGATACTTCAAAAACTGGGGAGGGAGAGCCGTCACTAAGCCCCGTGGGCGCTCTTTCGGTTTTTGGAGGTGAGGGCCCAGAAGATATCTAGGGTTGGTGACAGACGCCAAGGGAGGCCCAGAAACTCATTAAGATCAGAGAGAGAGGCTCAGAAGTTAAGTGTCTTGCAGAGGACTCAAGTTCAGTTCCCAGCACCCACAACAGGAGACTGTTCCAGCTCCAAGGGATATGACGCTCTTTTACAGCCTCCATGGACTCCTGCACACACACGCGCACACACACACACGCACACACACGCACACACACACGCACACGCACACACTCGCGAACACACACGCACTCACACATGCACACACTCACACTCGTGAACACACACATGCACTCACACACACTCATACACAAACACTCACACACTCACATACACACACTCACACTCTTGTGAACACACA